GGGTATACTGTGGTTCGGGGTATACTTTGGTCCGGGGTATACTGTGGTTCGGGGTATACTGCGGGGTATATAAAATCAATACATTTTAAGTGTTCAAAAAGGCGCAGGTAAAAGCCTCGGCCGTCCCTTCTGCTCGTTGCGTTCAGCGAGCAGAGAGTCGCTCCACGTTTCGGAGATTGTCGTATGTAAAATCCCGTGAATCCGAACAGGCTTCACCTGAGATCTGACTGAAGCAGGCTTGCCTCGTCTTGTTTTCTTTCATTCAGTTGAGGATGACTCATGATTTGAGCATGTGAAGAATCATTGGGCTGACTGTTCTTACCTGCAGGAAATATTCTCAAGCAAAATAACAAACCCTTAACCAGAGTGTTACATACTGTGTCATACACTAACTCTTCTCTCATTGCTGCCTCTAAAACACCTGTTATATTTATGATGAATCTGCACATAAAAGCCTTTGGAAAGTAGTCCAGTCCTGCATCGACTTCAACTGTTTTGTTCTCTGACTGTAGAAAGTGATCATGCTTTATCTTGATTAATGGGGTTCTCTGTTTGCCTATTTGAGTGGTGAAGCCTGCTCACACCTTCAACTCATACGATCATCTATCCAGTAAATATAAGAGATAACGAACCATAACAACACCAGAGAAGGAAATAAAAAACTAAACAGACAATGTTCACGTTTGAGAAGCTGAAACCAGTTCTTTTTTGCTTAAAAGAGGAAGTTTTTTGCTGTAGATCCACTAATCGGTTAATCCGTTACACTCTAGTGCGTCTATGTTTGCATGAAGACTCTTCATTCGAACGACCAAAAGAAGCATTTCTACAGTATATTCATGTCGTCACTCTCAACAGAAGTTGTAATCAACACTCTGTCACTCCGTCATGCAGACAATCTGAAATGTGGCGGAGCATCAGCCCTCATTTATGTCGGTCACTGGAAGGGAGGGATTACTTTTCTTTCCTGAGGGCCAGAGTATCAGGAAGTTATGTGTGTGTGTGTGTGTGTGTGTGTGTGTGTGTGTGTGTGTGTGTGTTTCAGTAAGTATCACTTTCATTTTCTTCACCAAAGGTAACCTACTTTTGAAAATCATGATAGAGGGAAGTCATCTTTTCACAAGGTGTCTTTACTGAGACTGACTGCAGGTCCCGAGATTACAAGATGTTTTTCTCCTGTTTGTATGTAAAATATTTGTATATAAACCTTCCTGATGTTCGTTTTGAGCTACTTGTATTTTACTTTACTACTTTATATAAATGTTATGCTACGCTATGCTTCTACTTCACTACATTTCTTTTTAAAAATAGTTGTACTTTTTACAGCGTTGCATTCATTTAAACAGCTTGAATTAAAATGTACTTTTTAGATTAAGATTTTACATTGAAAACACATGAAGAGGTTATAAAATATGATGCAGTAATAACATCCAACAATGCAATAAATTCATAATTAAACATTCTGAAAGAAGTGTTTCTGCACACGTATTTTACATATACGTGGAATGGAGTATTTGTCGACTATACTTTGATTTAAATGAAGGATCTGAATACTTCTTCCACCACTGTTAACGTCGTACAGGCTTTAATGTGCTGTGATGGTGTTAGTGGACCAAGGAGCCTCTGATAGTCGTGTAACGGTACAGACGATCCCCTCCAGCCAGCGGCCATCTTTAGGTTGTTTTGGACAAAATGCACAAAAATAGATATTTGAATAGTTCAAACATTTGTGTATGTTTTAGAGGGAATATTTCAACGTCACTTGTGGCCAATTTCAGCAGCCCTAAAACCTGAAGGCGGGTCTTCCAGCTCCATTTGCGCTCGCCACCGTGTGACTGTCTCGCACGCCCATCAGCCTGCTGCGCTAACCTCAGCACGTGTTGCTAACAGCTAAAGGTTTCGGGGGCAGGGCTCGGGCTTGTGAACTTTGGTTCCTGTATTACTTGCATCGATCTACACACCGTGTATCCTGCACACTGCCGCGTGTACCGGACCGCTTGATCAAGGCATGAACCACCTGTGGACGTGCATGTTGTGGGAGTCCATCGCGGTCGTTGCCTGCTCATTCTGCTCCTCCCACCAGTAGGGGGGGGGCAACCTTGACCGTGGACTCAGCGGCCGTTTGAGCTCTGCACGTCGACTTGTGTGATGGTGTTGGTACGCATGTGTGTGTGTGTACATGTATGTGTAAAGAGCAGAGTGCTATCAGCCTGATTCGGGAACCCTCCAGCCCTCTTCACAAACACTCACCGAGCTGATAAAGCTCAGAGGTCCACAAAGAGTTTATGGGCGTCCCGGAGAGCCGCAGGGTGTTTGCTCTTTGACTCACTAAACACAGCCACAGAGATGCTTGTTAAACGTTATCATCATACTCCTGCTGTATTAAAGCGAGTAGTCAAGAGGGCATGAATGGTTTGACGTAGAAGAAATGTTGGAGAGTCAGTCGGAGTAAGACCATAATATATCGCAATTTATTATATTGTGAGGCGATATTTTGCTATTTTTTTAAATCAAATTTTAGGAAACCTGTCGTATAAAGAAGAAGCCACCACAGTATGCAGTCAGAACACTCATCAATCAGAACCTTCTGTGTCATCTGAGTAAAGGAATAAACATTTGTCTACATCAGTTTTTAAAAAGTGTTCGCTGGATTCTTAAGGCAAACTAATGAAGTTAATAAAAACATGTATATATTTTATAACTATTGATTCAAAATGGATTCAGTGTTTTTGAGAATGTCATGTCATGGTACTCATGTGCATTCATATTTACCTACACCCCTAATTAATGGTGCCTTGTCCAAGCAAATACAGAGGAAGAATAGAGAGAAAGAGCTCTCACTGTTTTAAATGTATTTCTGAATAATATCTTCATAAAGACTTGATTTGAATCAGAGGAGAAGCTTCTTATTTTTCATGCAGCAGAGTGACTCAAAGCTCCCGATGAAATGAATCTATACGTCCGAACAAAGGTCACTTCAGTAACAAAAGCCTTATTGTCCCAGTGATGGATGTGCTGTTACACTCCATGTCCTCTTTAAAGTGTGTGTTTTGTTGTGTGTGTGTGTGTGTGTGAGTGAGAGACAGTGTTTGTCCATCATGACGTACTCAATAACTCATTAGTGTTCATGTGTGTTTGAGGAAGAGAGAGAGAGAGAGAGAATAGCTTGTAATGGGCCACCTGATCAAACAGCTGCTGTCTGTAAAGGCTTTTGAGCGTCTACGTTTTTAATGGACCGACATGTTAAGAGAAGGAAATCATCCACATGTGTGAGTTAACACGCTTCCAAATGCTTAAAGACTAATTCATCCGTAAGAGGCTGAACAGGTGGGAGAAGAGCACAGCTCAAGAACAAGAAGTCAGCTGAGACGTCTCCAGAGATAGACCGTGTTCCATCAATACTTCAGTCATTGCTCTCCTTTAGACTGAAGCAGAATGAGAGCGTGAGTGGATGGCAGCTTGTTGAGGAACATATGTAACATATATACCACTCTAGTGTGTTTGTTCTGTGCGTCCGTGTCGTGTTTCACCTCCGGGACAATAGTCTGTGCTTTTGACCGCGGCAGCGCAGCTATAGAGCAAAAACCAAACACACCTGCGGCTCGAGAGCCTCGTTCTTTTTATATGGAGACATTTGTACTCCACCTCTACACACACACACAGACACACACACACACACACACACACACACAGAGCGTCCTGACAGGAGGCTGGAGCGCCTCTGATCTGTGAGGTTTAGCAGCTTGTTTAGAATCATTTTTAAATGTTTGTTGGACGGGATGTTTTAGAGGAATGACATCTTAATTAAGAGGCAGGTTTTCTTTCACACAGAAACACTTCCTGCCTTTTCTTTTGTATTCTTCCTATCAGCCCCCCTGTGCTCTTTGGACCCCCATCGCTCCACTAATGGCTGTCACTGAGTGATTGATGGTCAATAGCGGAGGCTATCTAATCAGCACTAACGAGGCCCGTGCTGCTAACGAGCACTTGATGACCCAAACAGCCAAACTCCCTCGACCCCAGCTGATAAAAGAGTTCTCTTCTGGGACTTTCAGACATTTTGAGATTACAATTTGTGGCATTAATGCGAGAAACTACAGGAAAACAAAGAGAGACATGAACCGACCGAGTTAAAGATCAAGCTTCCATCACACGTCTTCCTTCAGACTTTATCGATTTATTTCACTACTTTGTCTATTTTCATCTGTAGATTTTTCCTAAATCCACCCAAAAGCTCATTTGCATATTTAAACATAACATTTCAGAAAGCTTGTAACACAAAACATAATGATCTTAATGTGAGTAATGAACGGGTGAAGTTTCATGTTGATATCTATTGATGTTGTGACCCTCTTCACCTGCAGCGTCTCGTCTCCTCGGTTTCTCCTCAAACAGAAAAGACTCAACAACATGTTGCAGATCGACTTTACGTCACCAGATAAAAATGATTCTAACACATTTACATTTGACTCCTTGTTGGGAAAACCATGAAACTCAAACGTTATCCTGGAATGATAAACTTCAGGAACACACGCGGCATTTAATTCTTAGTTTGAAAGCATCAAACCACAGTGAAAGGAACTTTATTGTGTCATTATCTGCTCGGCTTGTTTGTGCCCATTCCTTGCATTGACTCTCTGACGTTAATTTCCACCTCGGCTATGAAAGATGACTTCTTTTTCTTCCCTGCTGTGTGCATACCAGCCTATTGAACAGAGCGCTTTATTCTCCTTGTGGATGATTAGCTCGCTGTGTGGCAACAGCAGAGAGACGTCAACGTGTGGGTGGAGCAGCATGAGTGTTGTTCTTCTGCGCTTCACAGCTTCTCTTCTTATCCAGAACTACCTTCAATAATCAATGCGTCTCCTTTTGTTTGAGTGTTTTCGATTGTTGCATTGTTTACGTCCATGTTGAGATGGGGTGAGGTTCGAACAGAACGGGCTCATTAAATGATGCTTAATGTCAGCGCATGCTTCTCTTCAACATGTGATTTGTAGAAGCAAGATTTTCTGTTTTTATTTATTTTTTTAATGTTTTGCACTTTTAGCTTCAGAGTCTGTATGAAATGTGCTATGCAAATACAAATGATTATTATTATTGTTATTATTGTTATTTTATCCGATCGGCTCGCACAGTGTGGACACACAGACGTAGACGCCGCTGAAAAGACGAGCGCAACCACGAGAGACTTAAACTGCAGACAGACTGAAAGTCTTTTTGTTCTTCCTTGTGGAGCTCCTGCTGCATTCAGGGGTAATCTTCCATAAAAGACTGGCTTTTACTAAAGGACCCCCCACCCACCCCCCCCACACACACACACACACGTTTGTAAAAGAAAAATGTGTGTCGGCAACAACAAAGATGTGCCGACACAAACACACACCCAGCTGCACTCCTCAGGAATTTAATAACTCAGGATTGTTATATTAATTAATCAACATCTTGTGACCACAACACTGCATGTTTGACTCGTGAATGAAGCAACCGTCCTCCTTTGACTCAAGTAAAGACATGAATATGTTTTCTATCTTCTGAAACGTCGTGTCGTCCGTCGGCTTGATTGTTCTCCTCTCAGAGGAATATCACTTATTGTTATTAACTGAGCAGCAGTTAATATGTGGGGACTTTGCTGACAGTAGTTGAGCCCATTGTCTCAGAAGTGGCTCCGTGTGGTTTTTATCTCGCCGTTCAGCTTCATGGAAATGAGCCGAGTGTTTACAAGAGGGAGCCGTGACAACCACAGACTCTCGCCCACGCTGCTAACTGCCATCCCCCCCCATTCATGACCACAGACGCACTCTCTCACTCGCACGTTATTGTGAAAGGACGTTTTTTTGCCACCAATGTCGATGTGTTGACATCACTACATCTGTCCAACAGGGCGGGACAGACAGGTTGGAGATGAAGCCGCTACACGTCGGCCATTAGCTGTTATTCGGTTGTGTTTACTGTTTAACTGCCAATTCTCCAATCTTACCTCTCAACATGCTTTTAACGCCTCACGTTCTCAAAGGAGCTCCTCCTCAGCTGTGTGTCCTGTGCAGTGATATGTATGTCCTCTCTCTTGCAGGTGAGAAGCCGTACCGTTGTACATGGGAGAGCTGCGACTGGCGTTTCGCCCGATCGGACGAGCTCACCAGACACTACCGGAAACACACCGGAGCCAAACCCTTCAAGTGCATCGCCTGCAGCCGCTGCTTCTCGCGCTCCGACCACCTGGCCCTGCACATGAAGCGTCACCAGAATTAACCGCCACGTGAGCGCACACGAGAGCGGTGTCCATGACATGACAGCCACCTGAACTCAACCCACACGGTACCAAAATCATCCCTGTTTGACTCTGGTGCTCCACGCCAACATACAACGAGTGATAGCAGACATCTAACGGTGTTCTAGGTCAAAGAGAAATGCAAGAAAAAGCCACGTTGTTGAAGGATCTTAAGGTCGAAACATCTGTCGTGGACTTTTCAGGCGAACTTGTCTTAACTCCCTGAACCCCCGACCCGTTTGACTTACTGCGGCAAAAGTCCTGCACCTCAATGAAAACGGCACAATCATAAACACAGCTTTTATGCCAAAAATCATATAAAAAGGAAAAGCACAATGGTAGCAATATTGAAAAAGAAATGAAGGCCCCAGGTGCGATATATATGAAACTATTTACATTCTCACAGCCTCTACCTGTCCTCACCTGTCTGCTCGCTGTTCAGCAGCACCTCAGTCACAGATGTTTCTGTCACGTGACGGTCGGTCTCAGCCGAGTCAATCATGGCGTCTGAGTTGCACCGAGGAGCCCAGAAGTGAATGTTTTCACAGGATCTGGTTCAAGCAAACACGTTCTTTTTGACCGAAATTTTAAAAGTCACGTTTTGATGAAATATCACAATTTTAAGTTTTAATTTGGTTGCTTTTAAACCACCAAAGCGTTCCTCACACACGGCGTATTCAAGGAACGTCAGAGAGTTGATTTGATAAATTATGTAATTTCAGGGATTTACGTGAATAAAATGTGCTTTTTTAAACTGCCGGCGGGTTTTGGGGTTCAGAGTTTCGTCGTCTGCCGTCGACGGCTCCGTGTCATTACCGTCTGCTATCAGTCAACACAGTGTTGGCTGAAGTCTTAACGCCGGAGCTAATGATCTACCAGAGACTCAGAGATGATTTTGGTGTCTGCTCTCATCACTAAAGAGTTGAAAAACGACACACTTTCACACACTCGACCTGCTTTACTTTCTGCAAATATGTGTCATCAGCACTGTGGCCTCAGCCTCCTGATGACATCATGGAAAAACTTTTTACTCTTGTAAACAACAACAACAACATGAACTCTTTGTTTTTCCATAAATCTGCCACCACCACCACCATCATCATCATCATCATCATCATCATCATCATCATCACTGCCACCACCTTCTATCATCACATATGAACTCTTCAGGAGCGGTGGAGCTGTACGTCCTGCCGTTGTAAATACCTGTTTATATACGTGTGTGTCTGAGAATACAGAGAATGTAATGAGATTTATACTTGACAACCTTTTCTTTTCTTTTTTACATCAAATGTTAATATGAGTGATACTCCATGTTGAAGAGAGAGAGTAAACAAATCAGAGAACTCTCTGTGGGAAAGTTAATAGTGGCCTCGTCGTGCTTGTTTGAGCACAGGTAATACCTGTCGAGCTCAGAGAGCGGAGGGATTCGCCAATGTTTGTATCCATGACACTACCTGTTGCCACAGCGACCGAGCTCCTCTGACGACAGTTTGCGGTTTAGCTCGCCGTCTCTTTTCTTTTCTCTCTCCTGTGTTTGTTCAACACTTCACCTGGAGACAGACAGAGACGGGTGGATGGACCTCTTATGTAATCCTGGTTGATTTGAATGTGCAGTGCAGGCCGGTGAGTTACACTCTCACGGATCACAGAGTCTGTATGATGGACGCTCACTTCACTGCATGACGCTCAGCCTCAGCTGTGGCTCCTGCATTCTTTTGGGCGTTTAAATCAGTCGGGATGCCCGTGCATCTATGTGCAGAGGAAAATCCTGAGTCAATGTCACCGTCGTTCTCCTTTTGCCACCTTTTCTCTTTTAGATAGAACAAAAGAAACCAGTGCAAACATGACAATCTCCCAGTTTGTCAGCGTGATAACTGAACTTTAAATGTCTTCCGTGGGAGCTTGAACGATGAACAAAAATCCAGAACGTACCTTCGTTCAGAAGCAGAGAAATACTTTGTCTACATGATAGTGACTTATAGTTTGATATTATCTAGTTATGACCCACACCTGATCTCACCGTTTCTTCACTGTTTCTAGCACAAACACTGTGTGTGTGTGTGTGTGTGTGTGTGTGTGTGTGTGTGTGTGTGTG